TTGATCCTTGTTTACTCAACTATAAAGGGGGTATAATACATATGTTGTAAAGCTAATATATGCAATCACAGAGCACAAATAAGAGCTCAATAAATTATAATTACTATTATTATGATTATGCTCATAGAAATTGTGTGAAGACAGGCAGAGCAAGTATTTTTATAGAGATGAAACAAAATCTTACAGAGTTTAAGTGGCATGTCAATGTGTCATGTTCATACAAACTATGACATTAAGGGTTAACAAGAAATAATTCAGTCCTCATTTTGGGGAGTTTTTAATTAAGTTGGTGCAATGCACTGAATGTTTATGTCCCTTCTTCCCTCAAATTTATATGTTGAAATTCAAACTTCCAAGGTGATAGTGAGGAGAGGGGATCTTTGGAGGTGATCAGGTCATGAGGGTGGGGCCCTATGAATGGGATTAGGGCCTTATAAAAGGGACCCCAGAGAGATCCCTATCTCTTTCCACCATGTGAAGACACAACAGGAAGGAGCTGTCCAGCCTCCTGAATTGTGGAAAAATAAATTTCTATTGTTTATAAGCCCCCTGCTCTGTGGCATTTTGTTACAGAAATCTGAAAAGACTAAGACAGTTGGGGAGGAAGAAGACAGCTGTGGGAACATTATAATCAGGGATGTGATGTGAAGGGCGAAGTTAGTCAGGAAAGGTGTCCTGGTGGAAGTGAGCCTTGTGCTAAATTTGATGAAGTGTAGGATTATGGATAGTAATAGAGGAGAGGGATGATAGAAATAATATGGAGAAACCACAGAGGTGGAGTGAACTGCAATAACTGAAACAGTATATGTTTTCAGGCCTAAGTGGCAGGGGAAAAAATGATTACCATCTCAGTATTCATAGCCTTATTCCTCACCAAAGTCTGTTGTTTGATCTATTAATTGAGAAAAGAAGGGCTTGGTTAAACAGAGTGGATAATATTTACATTTAAAACATCAAGGCTAGTGCTATCTCAGTTGGGTAGATCACACATCTTTCAAAGGCTTTAGAGAAAAGCCTATTTCCATCCCACACTGTTTTACCTCCACACCGAATAGGCTGCTCCCTCACCTTCCACCTTCCACCTTGAGTTGCTATCTAAGAAAATGGTTTTACATCCAGGTGCTTGGTTTAAAAATGTCCCCACTGTAGTCACAATCATGTGATGCAGCTTGGGGATAGGATTAGAGATGAAGTCATGATAAAAATGTGAAGTAGGTAAGATTTATCATTATCTGTTCCATGACATTTATTTTCCCTGTAGCTTGAATTTCACCATGCCCAATCTCCATCAACATTTACTGAGCACCTACTAAGTGTGAGGCTCTAAGTTGGGTTCTGAGAATCCAAAGACAAATGCTGTGCACTTAAGTAACTTGAAGCCCAACTGTGAGATGAGACCTGAAGGGAGGTGACTGTTTCAGAACATCTAGAAGCACACTCAAGGACAAGTAAGTTTTCTTCTTTATCTTTAGGACTAGTATTTGCCTTGCTATTGCCATCCTAAAGGGATTAAGATGAAGAGCAATTGCTGTGCTCACTACTTCTATCAATAAATAAAATAATTCTAGTAGTACTTGAATGTTCAGCTTCTAAAAGTGAAGCTTCTTCTCATCTGAGAGCCAACCCCACAAAAATAAAATACTTTATATTTTCCATTAGTTTGGAAATAAATCTACTGCAATAAAACATCAGGCATAAGAAATGGAGCCTTTCTTTTATCTTTGGATTTATTTCCAATACATTTCCCAGATTTCCCTTGACATTTATTTTGTACCTCTTCAATATTATTCTGGAGTATAAACAGACTTGACCAAAGATGCAGCTATTCTATTGTTTCGAATGATTGCATTTTGATAGAATTCTGAAGTGGTAAAGATTTTTAATAATACCTTGTATTTTTTTCTCTGCTATCTGATGTCTGATGCTAAAAGGTTTATTTTTTGATGTTTATTACATGTGATTTTGATTATATAAAATGAAAGAAAAAGGACGGATGGCGGTACATTAAGCTAGCTGGGAAGAGTTGTGACTGTGTAAGAAGCTTACCAGATAATATTTCTAATTTGATAATTTTGAGGAGAATCTTCACTAGTGACCACCATCATTTCATTCAAACACCTCTTTTAATGGCAACCTAGCATCATATTACCTTTTAGCTATCATATTGGAATAGTGAACATGTATAAAAATTTATCTCAAACTATGTCATAAATCTTGTACATTAAAAATAGTACTTTCACTCCAGATAATTTATAAGTTGAAAAACAAACTCTATTATCACACAAGAGCCTGAGAAATCCTAGGTATATTCTAGTTCCCCAGTTTTAAGGGAAGAAAGTAACAGAGTGGTCAAAATTCAATAGATCCCTGTGAAAGATTTACTGAAAAAGTAAAATACAATTGTCTTTCCTGTGTTCTTTATAACCTGCCACTTCCATTTCCTTTTTGCAATAGTCTCTCCCATGGTCCACCTGGTTCTTTGTGAGTCGTGGTTTGCCTTTATGAGACCCTCAGGAACAGGGATGATGGATGCACATATTTACTGAACATTTTTCTGCCCTCTATGCTAGGATCAAGACTATTTTCAGTTGGGAAGGCAGACGATGTCAGTAAGTTCCATTGGAAATCATAAGTTTCTACTTGCATACAACTGGGAAGAAGCAATGAGGAGAAACAAAAGAAGAAGAAAAAAGAGGAGTGAAAGGAGAAGGTAAAGTCAGAGAAAAAGCTGGAATGGGAGGTAAAAGAATCAGAAGTGATTCTTCCAATTCAACAAGGTAAGTAAATGTAATAGAAGTACTGTCTTTCTGCAATCTTATAAAATTTATAAGATGAATAAACAAAATAATACAAAGAGTCAGTAGGCCAGCATTCTCTGCAAATGCTTAGGCAACTAAGGAAATTATTTAGTTACTCCATCTTGCATAAAGAAATAATCAACTGCCATTTATTCCTAGTTCATCTGAATGAGGAAGTTCAAAATAGTGTCTGCCTTCAAACTGAAAAATAATAATTTGAGTTTACAATAGAGATCCTGAAGCTATGAATATTTCAAAATGACTTTTGAATCAACAAGTTTTAAATAATTAATTAATGTATTAATATACATTATTAAATGATTTTGCTGTTGAAAGCATTTTGGCATATTCTAATTCTTTAAGACATACATTTGTTCCAGTGCAAAATCAACATACAATTAAAAGCCAATTTGGAATCTAAGTATTACCTCAAATATATTGCATGAAAGACTAGCCTCAGATACTTTGAAGAAATTAGTAACACTTACTTTTCCAGTCTAGTCTGCCTATGTAACACTTTGGAAATTGTTGCTGAGATATTCAATTTGTAAACGTAATATGAAACAGCTAATAAATTTTAATTAAGAGAATATTATCTCATCCCTTGACCTATGTATCCTGGATAAATGAGCATTTATATGTGCAATCTGATATCATTGATGTGGACACTTGTTATCACTTAAAATAAAGGTTCTAATGGATTTAAAGTGTTTTTTTAATTAAGGAAAATAAATCATTATATAAAAAAGACACCTGCACTTACATGTTTATTGCAGCACAATCAACAACAGCAAAAATACGGAATCAACCTAAGTGTCCCTCAGTGGAGGATTGGATATGTGTGTGTGTATATACATATCCCACTATATATATATATATCATACTATATATATACACACACACACAGATATATATAGTGGGATACTGCCCAGTCATAACAGAGAATGAAATCATGTCTTTTGCAGCAACATGGATGGAACTAGAGTCCATTTTCCTAAGTAAAATAACTCAGAAACAAAGTCAAATACTGCATGTCCTCACTTGTAAGTGGGGGCTACATACTAGGCACACATGGACATACAGAGTGGAATATGGACATTGGACACTATGAAAGGTGGAAGGGGTGAGGGCTGAAAAATCACCTGTTGGGTACAATGTTCACTATTCAGATGATGGGTACACTAAAAGCCTAGACTTAGTCACTATGCAATATATGTACATAAAACATCTGCATTTATACCCCATAAAGATATTTTTTAAGGCCAATGGAGTTTGTTTGCAGCTTGTGTTTCATGACATTTAGTTTTTTTTGAAACATATGTTTTACTTAAAACTGAGAGGAAAGTGTCTGCCGCTCAAATGCATCACAGTCTGTCCCATTTAGGTAAATTTTCAGGAGAAATGCAAGCCCCTGGGGAAATACCTCTGCTCAGGGTCAAATGGATCCTACACCTCCTTTTTCAAATGCCTGCATTGCCACTGGTAACTCATACAACACATTTTAAGATTTGCGAAGGGCAGGACAGTGAGCCCTAGGATGACTTTTTTTTTTTTTTTTTTTAAATTCAAGGTATTTTGCATTGCATTTTTAAAAATTGCATATATTTTGTTGTATTAAAATAAGACGGCTGCATTGTATTACATCATAATAGAAGAAGAAGTTTAAGACCAGTTAATTCTTAGCCACTTAAAAAAATTTTTTTTTGTGGCTCAGATAGACCTCATGGTACTTTGAAATGAAAAGAATCTCTCTCTGCAACTCTCAGGAACTAGGTGAAAGATACTCAAATTATAAAGATGCTAGAGCCCTGGGGTGCGGAGAGTCTGTGTTTAGTATATCGGTCAATGAGTTCATGTTGCCATATATTAAGTGGTGTTAATGAATGTTAACATCACTATACCAAGAGTAATGGCAGGATTTGATGGGTGAAGAAAGACCACTGCTTGATTTAAGCAGAGACGGGGTAGGTGGTAAGTCTTCCTTTGGACCTTTCTTGATCATAAGAATTGACCTGGAGTTTGCATAGAGATTTTAGAAAATAAGTATTTGCCCAAGAAACCATTCCTTAACATAAGTTTCATTTTAGTGAGTGGGGACTAAAAGAGTACTATAATATGCACATTTTGAATACTAATTTTGTTATACTTTTCTCATATCACCTCTAGGAGAAGTCGTGGAAAAGGACAGCACTCAGGACTTACATCTCTTCCAATGAGGTCCTCCTGGTTTTCCACAATTCCCCAGGGGGCAATACCTATGGTGCATATCTTTCCTCGAGACTTAGATGCATGATCCTTCAAGGCGTCTCCAACATGACGAATAACACCTAAAAAAAAAAAAAAAAAAAAAAGAGAAGCATTAATTTTGTCTTTTAAAGCAAATACCTTCCCATCATTCTAAAGAAAATTATGGTAATGGTTTCTCCTGAGGTTAAATAAATTGAATATAAAATTTTGACACATGTCTGTACAAACTACTTGTATTTAGGAGGAAACATAAACTCGTGGCTGTAATGCCAAATGCATTGGCCGGATTTGTATATGCATTCTAGCATTGCATTTCTTACTCCAATTTATATGAAAAAACAAAAAGCATCCAATGTCTATAAAAAGAATAAATACAATTTCTTAAACTTAGAAACTCTTTTTCTTATAAGCATAATAATTTGTTAGTATGATTAGGAACCAACAGCTTGACTGTGTCATGTTAAAAGTACCATGTATAATGGTATGTTAAATCTATACCACAGTCTGTATATGAGTTAAAATCATTCAAAGACATGAATTATTTAGTTTGAGATTGTGTTAACCTTTATGAGAACCTACTCATAAAGACAGTGTTGGATTATTCTGTGGAAAATTTGTGTTAAAATATATAGACACACCTTTTAATCTTCATCATTCTAATTATTTTCCTCTTCTGTTAAAATGACCCACCCCATCATAGTTAAGGGTGAGAAAATTCAGTTTATAAGATGGTAGGCAGCATAACTCTTACCTTTTTAAAAACCATTTAAAGAAGATACAATTTCTAATTCTCTTAACCTCCCTCTCAAATGATCATTTTTATAGGAAGATATAAGATATATCCTCTAAGAAAAGATGTTTCTGCTTATCAAAGTTCCAGTCATTTCTCCAGGAAAAATGTATACCTAGTGCCATTTCCTATATGAATGTTGAGTTGGATTTGATTTCTTCTCCATTTGAACATACTGCAGTTTGTAAATTTTGAATAGCTCAGTATGTCACTTAACATGTTCTGCAGTGATTCATAATTACTTGTGGAGATGTCTCTTCTAACAGTAAAACTCTTTGAGAGGAAAGTTGGAGGGTCAGTGCCTTATTCGCCTTCCTACACCTCAGGGGCTAGCCTAGAGGAAGGGCTCAGACCCTGTGCACTAAACTAACTAAACACATGAAACACACCAGGCAATTTAATCATGGGAAAAGACATGTGTATTTAAGTAGCCCAATACTGAAATGTTCATAAGCTGAAACAGGAAGAATCACTGTTTAAAAAGCAAATAACAAAACTGTGTAAATGGCCATTAATCCATGTTGAGCTATTCAGGAGTGTTGGGAAGAATATCATTTTCACTTATTATCTTATCTATGAATCTTCTGAGAGTACTGGTAAACAAAAAAACAAAAACCCGAACCAAAAAACAGCAAAACAAAACTTCCCAAAAGAAGACTGTGAATATTAATATTAAATTGTTTCCAGTTGTTTCCAATACAAAACTCCTTTTAGGGCCAGCCCTGGACAAGAAGTTTAACTTTATGGTATGCTCAACTGTCTGCACAATTCTATCAATACCTCTTACCCAACTTTAACACTTTATCGTCAGAACCTCACTTTGGGTATTGGATTGAACACTAAGCCTGGAGTGAGGCAGAGATGAACTCTTAGGTTTGTAGTATGTAGACTATAAATTCTTCTTTTGATATTGAATGCATTTTATGAAAGAATAAAAACAATAAATAGTATTCCAAGTTCTTAGAAATAGAGCATTGGTAAGATTTTCTTTTGAACCTGTAGAACCCGTTGAGTTGGTCTCTATGTGACAGGAATGCAATAGACAATAATCACAGGCAAATGAGGCCTGCTTAGTTGAGAGGGAAACATGGAACCCAAAACCTGAACAGTCATTGAAAGAAAAATTGCTCTATAGATATTTGATTACTACAGGATAAATAGTGAAGAGCTAAGCAGATCATTCTAAGATCATGTCAGTGTATGGGCTGCGTCAGAATTTCACATAACATTGAACATGAGCAATCTGCAGACTTCGTCACTGAAATATCTTTATGTAGCTGTGTGCAGAATGTTCACAAATTCTAGGTATTTAAGAGAATTCTCAGTGTAGGTCTTACTCAAACAGCATCCATACTACAAATGCAAAATTTATCTTAAACAACATTAAGATAACGTGTTATTTTTATTTTTTGAGACACAGTTTTGCTCTTGTTGCCCAGGCTGGAGTGCAGTGACACGATCTCAGCTCACTGCAACCTCTACCTCCCAGGTTCAAGCAGTTCTCCTGGTTCAGCCTCCTGAGTAGCTGGGACTACAGGCCCCCACCACCATGCCGGGCTAATTTTTGCATTCTTAGTAGAGACAGGGTTTCACCATGTTGGCCAGGCTGGTCTTGAACTCCTGACCTCAGGTAATCTACCCTCCTTGGCCTCCCAAAGAGCTGGGATTACAGGTATGAGCCATCATACCTGGCCCAAGATAACATGTTATTTAAAACTAACTGGACCAGAGTTACGTTTAGAATATTCCATTAACTACGAATGTATCCACATGTACAGACTTTGGGGCTTGTAATAAGTTTACCTTAACTTATTGCAACATTACCTCTGCATTTCCAATTGGCACCTCAGACTTCAGACCCACAGAATATGCCAAAAACATTTACAGGCATCCATTCCATTATCTGGTGCACATCAAAAATGTTCTGCAAATAAGCACTTAACTATAGGTGGGCTGGTAAGAACTGATTTAAGAATGCATCTATAGCACAATATAGATGGCAGGAAGGAAAAATTCTTTGGAATTCAGAATGAGGTGTGTCTTCTATTGGCACAGTGAGGAGTTAATAAAATATTTTAAAAAATAAACACGTAATGCCCTAGATTTTGCCTTTATGTCCCAGAGAGAAATGTTGTTTTGCAAAAATTAAAGCTATTTGGCACCAAACTTGAAATTGTGTAAAGGACAGAGGTAGAGCTTTCAATTTAAAGTAGAAGTCATTCCTTAAAAAATTACTGGCAACTTAAGCTATTTAAAAATACCCTGTGAACTTCCATTAGTTGTGTTTATGAATTCTGTATAGTCAACTATTAAATATCCCAACCCATTTCTTACGTGTAAGTAATTCTTCTTGGTTAAGAAATAACTTTACAGTTCTCATTTAGATAAAGGAGGGAGAGATAACTAGCAACTATGGACCCATGGGTAGGGATGAAGTGGGGTGATATAGAGATAATTAACCTTAGCAGAAAATTATATCAGGCACAACATTCCCATGGCCTATGTTGACTTTCTCTGTTCCACTTGCAATTACCTGTGTTAACCCCTCCAGTGAATATCCACGCTCCAGTTGTCATAGCTGCTTTTATGAGCCCTTTCCCAAAGACTTGCTTTAGTTTTGGCTGGAGTTCAAAGTTCTGCAGGCCCCCATGGACAGAGATGAGAAGCTTGGGAAGCTCCAACTGCCATTCCTTGGTCATCAGGTGTAAGAGGAGATCAGGTTTTGTATCAAAAGATACTCGCACATACTGGAAGAAGAAAGGACATCAGTTAGGGAGACAAGGCAGGACTGGCTGAGGCTGGTTATCTTTACTGATTGCAATTATATGTGTAGTTATGTGACAAAAATGTCTCATATAAAATCAGATTTTTTTAAGAAGGGGTGATCATTTGCTTTATCAAAAGAGCCTTCATTAGACAAAGAGTTTGTATTTTTAAAGGCTTTCTTGAAATTATAATTCATTTTGAAATTATTAGATTTTCTAAAATGCTGCACAAGCATGACTTTTCCCAGACCAAGTTTTTTGCTCAAAGGAAATCATGTTTATATTTCACCACCCTTTACATGTGTACAACAGTTGAAATGTTTCTAATATTTTTCATATCTCTTTATATTAACTAGATGCACATATTATTATTTCTGTGACCCTATTATTTTGAGAGAATGTGAAAGATTCTACAGTTCTACATAATGTAATGAGAATTTTGACATAAGGTAATAGTGAATTACATTTATTTATAGCTATAACAACTGCATACCAAATGTAATGTTTATCTTTTAAATAACACAGGAAAAGGCAGGACAACTATTCCTGAAGAATAGTTGAAAATTTGAGTGTACAGCAAATATCAAGGTGTTACCAGATGCAACTGGAAATACAGTTATGATAAGTCTATATAAATGAAATACTGTAAATGCATGCAGTAATAAATATGTATGTAACCATATATATAGATACTCATTTAGGTCTCAATGTAATTATATAAAAACTTCAATTTCTAGCTGGAAACAACTGAAAAACTGGGCAAATATAGAAAGTCCTTTGAAATAGGTTTCTGAGCTGGCATGAAAAAAAGAATTATTGAGACTCCTAAACAAAGAAGCAGTTTAGAACCTCAGGAGGTTAGGGAGTACCAAAGCAGGATTTGACCCTGAGTGTCTTTCCTAAACCCTGGAAGACCTAGAGCATCTGATTTAATGGTTGCATGCAGGTTTGAATTTAATGCTTTTATGGGAGAATTTAATATGGGATCCCACATAGGGCTGGTATACTTCAAAGGGATCATCCTCAAATGTAAGAAAGAAAAAAAATAAATAAACTTGATGTACAGAAGAAGATGGCAAGAAAACTTGCCTTCCTCAACCTCGACTCTGGGTGGATGAGGAAAACATTTCCCCTCTGATTATTTTTAAATACAGTCAGGCCCCCACACAGGCCTTGCCCATATTCACACCATCAGTATGGTTTGAGAATCGCCAAGCAGTGTTTAATGTTAAATAGTTCTGACTGGAAAATGGTTCCAGATAACTGGTAGAAGTAAATGCAGATTATCTGTGGAAGAATGTGTCATCAATCCATGCCTGATATAATTCTCATGGGGAAATAAGTATTTCATAGTAAAACAATGAAATAAATTATACAGGAAATAAGGCAGCATGAATGAAAACCAATAGAAACAACAGGCACCAGAATAAGATCCTGAAAGTCATTGAAATGATCAGATACAGGCTATAAAATAACTGTTTAACAGGTTAAAAAGCATAAACAAGATGATTGAGTACAAGAGTAAGGAGCAAGAAACTAAAAAATGATGTATACATGCATGTGTATACATCTGAAAAGAACCAAACAGAACGTCTAGTAATCAAAATGTAATAATTAAATGAAAATTTAAATGGATAAGTTAAATGACATATTAGATATAATGATAATAGATCCAGAAGATAAATGAGATGCAGCCAGGAAAACAAAGGATTTGAAAACATAAAAGAAAAATAAAGAATAAAGAAAAAAAAGAAAAATAAAAAATAAAGAATTATAGATAGAAATAAAAGAGATGATGGGGAGGAGGCAATATTAGAAGAAATATTGGCTGAGTATTCCTCAGAATTATAGAAAGATACCAATTCTAAGATGCAGAAAGTTCAGTGAATTCTAAGCAGGCAAATGACAAGAAACCTCACTTATATACACATCACACATAACACCAAAGGGAGGAGAAATTCCTCAGAAGTAGCTGGAAATAAAGACAGATCATGTACAAAGAATAGTCATTAGACTGAAGACCTACTCCTTAACAGCAACAATAGATACCTGAAGCCAAAACCTTCAATGTGTCAAGAGAAATTACCTGTTAGTCTAGAATTCTATACTCAGCAAGACTATCTTTTAAAAATGAGAGATTATAGATATTTTCATACTGCCAAAACTGAGAGAGTTTATTTCTAGGCACCTTCACTGAAGGAAGTTGTTTTTGTTTGTTGTTGTTGTTTTTGTTTGTTTGTTTTGAGATGGAGTCTCGCACTGTTGCCTGGCCTGGAGTGCAGTGGTGCGATCTTGGCTTACCACAACCTCTGCCTCCTGGGTTCAAGCGATTCTCCCGCTTCAGCCTCCCGAGTAGCTGGGATTGCAGGTGCCCGCCACCATGCCCAGCTACTTTTTTTGTATTTTTCTTTTCTTTTTTTTTTTTTTTTTTTGAGACGGAGAGTCTCACTGTGCTCCCAGGCTGGAGTGCAGTGGCGTGATCTCGCTCACTGCAAGCTCGCCTCCGTTCACGCCATTCTCCCCGCTCAGCCTCCAAGTAGCTGAGACTACAGGCGCCGCCACCACGCCCGCCTAGTTTTTTGTATTTTAGTAGAGACGGGGTTTCACCATGTTAGCCAGGATAGTCTCGATCTCCTGACCTCGTGATCCACCCGCCTCGCCTCCCAAAGTGCTGGGATACAGGCTTGAGCACCCGCCGGCCTTTTTTTTGTATTTTTAATAGAGTTGGGGTTTCATCATCTTGACCATGCTGTCTTGAACTCCTGACCTCGTGATCTGGCTACCCTTCGGCTCCTCAAGTGATGGGATTACAGGCATGAGCCACCGTGCCTGGCCTGAAGGAAGTTTTAAAGCATATATAGGAGGCAGAACTTACATGATCCAAAATGGATGATCTGGGTTGTAAGTTAGGAAGATAAACTAAGATATTAGTTAATATAAGGTCAATCTAAAAAAGTATTGGGTATATAATATAATGTCTAATTTACAGTGGAAAGTGATAGAACTAAAGCACTGGACAATACAGCATATAAATGAATGGCAACAGTTAGAGTTTTGACATTCTAAAGCCTATGTTGTGTGGGAAACAACGGAAAATTATTAATTCTGGAATTTAAGTATGAATGTTGAAGTTGCATAACCACAAAATGAATATGCCTGCATGTAATCATACAAACATGTGCTTTTGGATTCATAAATAAGATTATCCAGGAGATGATAATTTATTGCCATACTTCTGGGTTTGGAAAACCCCATTGTTTAAGCCTCAAAAACTGTTTGTCTATTCTTTCATTAAAGTATATTCGAAATATATTTAGCTGAAGCATGAGGCAAAAGCAAGCAGAATATGAAAGCAGCTTAATAAAATAAATTGCATCATCAAGAGATACCAAAGAGCTAAAGTTTCCTATACATATATGCCAGAAATTCAAAGTGTTGGCATCCAGTACAGTTATTTCTATATTGATTTGATTTACCTAGCAAAAAATGATTCCAGAATACAGAGTAAATGTTGACAATTTTAGCTAAGTACATTATATCACCGGGATTTGACTAGAGTTTACTATATGAAAAATGGCATCTTTTGTGCACAAACTCTCACGCGGAGGGCAAAAACTTTCAGATATCTATCAACAGAAATTTTCACCAGTGTGTACTTTTGTGCCATACAAGGAGCATTCGGGCTGAAGAGGGGATATTGGAGTATCAGAGGCCAACAGAGGAATTTCTTAAGTCCAAGCTTCTTTTAAAAATCTTCACTGAGAGTCTCTTTATAAGAGAAATAATTATAACGAATGCTATGAAATAAAAGAATAAAGAAAAGAATAAATAAATAAATAAAGGGGCAGAAGAACACTTTGGAGGTGTGGGGCACGCTTATGTCCTTGATTGTGCTGATGATTTCCCAGATATAGTCTTATCTCCAAACTCATCAAGTTGCATATACTAATTATGTGCAGCTTGTTGCATGCCAATCATACCTCAGTAAAGTAGTTTATCATAAAGATGAAAGAATAACATTGTTTTCTGTGTCTGTACACTATTACTTGAGTAGTGTGGTTTAGTGAATTGAATAGTTAAAATTTGGGGGTCCTGCTGAATTGATTTCATTTTGACTAATTCCAGAACAGGTTATTTAGTAAAATAAAGTAGAACTGGGAATTGCAAGGCTTCCAAACTACACAAATCAAGAATGCTTTAGTGTGAGACATGGTAAGAAATTGCTTTTCAAGTTACTGTTCTCTTATTTATCAACTTTAATATCACTTTAAAGAACTCCAATTTAATGTGGACCTATGTTCTCCTAAGGTGAGATATAAATTACACTTTTCTTAAAGATAGAAAAGCACCTAAGGTATAAAAATACTACTAAAAGTATTTGCCCCCTGCAAGACTACACAGTAATTCCTAACATTTCTGAGTTGTTGTGACTGTGGCTTTTGGAACCCCAAAATTCCTCATGTAGATCTGAACCTACACATTTCATCTAGCCACAATGCCACTACACTCCAGCCTGGGCAACAAGAAGGACACTCTGTCTCCAAAAATAGAAAAAAAAAAATCCCAAAAAACAAGAACAACAAAATAACTGGAATACAAGAACCTTGTGTATTTACTGTGCACCAGGCACACATATGCTGTGAGATACCAGAGCCATAGTTAGTACCTGGGAATAGATATACATACATTATTAACTCACAGAGGGTGAAGGGAGATTACAATTCATACTAAATTAGTACAGATACTGTGTAATAATTTCAGCAAACTTAACTAGCTAAGTGACATATTATGGAGTTCAATTATTCATACTAATTGGTAATAAATAAATGCATTTTTCAGAATAAGCCTCCCTTGATAAATAATTTACTTTAGGAATTCTGTAGTTACACATACAATATAACAGTAAGAAATGAAAAGGGTCTACTTATTGATCAGGTGAGCAGCTCACTGAAAAAGACCAATAGATCTACTGAATATGTTGA